ACCAATGCCACTATATGCCAGACGTAATACAAAGCAGTAGAGCTCGGCACCACCTTCCTATAGGTCAGTATACGGAGATGACACAGGCCATTCAGAATAGAGAAGATCACCGAGGCTGGCTCCTGTATCCCAAACACTCGTATAAATGGCCACTAGATCAGAGAAAAAGAATACTGTACAAGAAAATATAGGCATACAGCATATAGAAAGCCAATTTGCCTTGTTTTCATATGTTCCAGTCCATATCAAGAAAATTTTAAATCCAGTCATGTTCAATGGAGAAAAATATTAACTTTTCATTGAATTCATACATATATATTAATATTCTAACCTTTCCATAAAACTGTGGGACTTCTATGTTGTCCTTTCGGAATGCCTCTACAGTTTTCCACATGCAGTGATACTGACATTCATCTTCACAACTCCAAAACAACTTTTCTTCAAACCAGGGCTGATTTTCCTTGAAGCGAGCAATGGATGCTGATCCAGTACAGTTTTCTGTCTGACAATTCTGCAGACATTTATTATAAATATAGGATCTATCACCATAGGAGGCACAAACTGTGTCTATATTTCCCAGAATGCACCACAGTATCCATGGCAACATTCCTGTTGCAGTCTGGGATATATCCTTTTGAAAGACTGCCATGATCAGAGGTGTTTAATGACATTCTTCATCCAATATCAAACATGCCTTTGTAAAGCCATGATTAACATGATTAATGTTCATTATATGACATGCCTTTTAATATTTCTTTCAACTGCAAATGACAAAAGCAAGGAACTTCTAAAATTTCCTTCAACTGCAAAATAAAAAAAAAAAATATTTGCAAATACAGCCAGCTCTTATAACAATGATTATTCTTTACATTTTGCAAATTGCATCTTTATATCTGCAAACTATCTTCTCACAACAACACCAAAAGTTCACCAATGCCAAAAAAAAAAAAACCCAGACACCTTGATTTATAATACATGTAGATATTGCAGATTATAAATTTTAACAAATTTAACATTCTTTGTTAAAATATATTTGCATTATGATTTTCAAACTTTATCATGTTTAAAGAGATTGTATTGCTATATGTTTATTGCAATGAACGTATTCTGTGCCTTGATCCATGTGAACAACTAGTTTTTTATTCATATTTAATAAAACAGATGAATAAACAAACAATAAATTGTTTAAAGTTGAACTACATATAATTCCCTTCCCCGTTATTAGAAATCTTGTGTAATTAACATGTTATTTATTATTTTAGCGAGGGTGCACGACATCGCTAAAATTGAATATAAAAACGAAAACATTTTTATTACCTATTATTTGTAATAGCTTCTTGAGTTAGCATTTCAAAATCGCTAAAATTACTTCTCACTAAAAATAAAATAAGTACCGGATTTTAGGAAGAAATTGCTAAATTTGCGTCGCGCTAAAATTTCCACTTATACAGCATTCTATATTAATGTCATGCTTTGAAGAGGCAGATGCAAATTGAAACTGCATTAATAGATAGATACATGCAGGTATCTCAGTGCTATTGCCAAAATAGTCAAATGCGGCATCGATCAACATATTAAAATAAATGTATGTATAAACCTTTTACCAATTTGTACATGAATACAAAGTTATTTATAGCAATGTATGATATTGTATGTACAGATTTGTAAATGCTTTGTGGTATCAAACAGGTGTATATCATAGGCACTCCCCATCTTAATTGTTAAAAAAAAATATATCTACTATACTATAAACATAACGTTATGTTTATAGTATAGTAGATATATTTTTTTTAACAATTAAGATGGGGAGTGCCTATGGACAGTATGGTGTATATGTCACTTTTCAGATACCTGAACAGTGGACTGCCTGCATGCATGGGCTCAAATCTTACTTACATGAATAAACTGCGATAAAAGCCACTGGTCACTCCATGAAACATATGTACAAAAATATAGATGTATATGTATGAGGTACCTGTAACACGTAAATTCTAGGACAGATAGTAGTTGATAAATGCCAGAGGAAATTCTGGTAGTGTGCCAAACAACACATGCACGCTGTCAGCACTTGACACGAATTACTGACATTATACATGCACAAAAAAAGCACTTTAAACATTTTTCTAGTACAATTTATTTTCATTTCTGTTAAAACTTATACCTGATTATAAATTTAAAGGAAACATTCACACGTTGTCGCCAACAGCCGATTCGGATTCGTGCAAAAATAACAATAGAGTTATTACTCTTTGGACACTCTTCTGTTTAAAGAGATAAAAATATGCTTTGAAAGAAAAGCAGGTTCCTTTTGGGATATTTTGAAGGACATAGATCATTTGTATTTTCTAACAGATGCACGTTTACAATCTAGTCTCCCTGTCATAAATTTTCTTCCTGTAAAAATTGAAATAATGAATGTAATAGGATAAAGGCTAAAACGATTTTTTTGTCTTTTTTTTAATTCAGAAAAATATATATACGGAAAAATGCGTGACCCTGTTTTCATGGTTTTAGATCTAGGTCTTGTAGGTTAATAGCAAGATCACATGTACTTTTTGAACACAATATTCCGCTTATCTAAGCTACATATATTAGTCTGTTTAGCATTATTACACTTGATTCTTTTAATTTTGAGTCTTAAGTCACTATGTATAATAAGTAACTTTTTTATGGTGTTAAAGAAAAACATTTTCATGACATGACACGGAAAAATTTAATTCGCTGAAAAAAGATTATGAGGCTATCAATAGCGGAATAATAAAACATTACTTCCTATCAATTTATTTTATCATTTAAAATTCAATATTAATGAAACAGACCACAAAATAACCCCCTGTACGGTACCCCAAGAAAATTTAACGTCTCCCACGGCAAGGAACGGTAAAGAACTTAAAATATACACATTTTTGTGACTCATTACAGATCTTCACCATGTGTATTGCGCGCCAAAAGATTCCCGATTAATCATTACACAAGGGATGACTTTTATAATATCTAAATTCAGCCAAAAATACCGCACTGAACAAAGGAATATGTTGCGATGTGTATCAGTGTGTATTTCTAGTGTATTGATCAGCTGTTGATTGCAAGTCTGGGAAAAGATCGGTATGTATTTTTATAATATATTGATCGAGCAATTTTAAAAGTACACATCTACACAATGAGCAATCCCATTGTAAACAAAGTTATAACCGCCCTCCCTATTACCTGTACCTCACGGTTTAAATTGTTTTGATCAGATTGACTAATTAATTGGGGTCATGAGGATTTCGGATCTGTAGGTGGAGATGTGTTAAAAATTACCATATTAGTCAGTGTTATGATAATTGATTAACGAATTATATATGTCCCATTATTTAAAAGAATAAAAGTGATAAAAAAACAACTCTTGAGATTTTGATTCAATTTATATTTAGCATTAATTAGCCTAACACTCACTGAGTGAACCCCCACCACCACCACCACCGCCCCGGACTTCTGAAACGTTAGTAGGATTATATCTATCTGTAGCCTATAGTCTATGGAAGATTGTACTCTGTTGTAGATTTATACCCACTTGACTAAGTTTGATGTAAATGAGATCGGCATACAGACCTCGAATTAAGCAGTAACTGTGTCTTCTTTCCTTTTTCTTATGACCCCAAAGCTTAATATACATCTTCAGGGACGGGGGTGTTAGTCCCTTCAAATCTATGAATCATACTCATAGTCTTAGATGGAATATACCTAGCATAAGCTTCGTTGTTCATGTTATGAGCAAAAGTACATGTATCTAAATCATGTACATGTAATATATGGAGACAGACAACGAACGGCATTCAAGCTCAAAAGCCCGTATAATAATTAAACTAGAGGTACTGTGAGCGATGAGCTCACTATATGATACCCCCCCCCCCCCTGCCTCCCATATAGTTAAAATGGCAAAGTCCATGTTTTGCTGTGGCCGGGAAACCCAAAATATGTGTCGGATCAAAAAGTAAAATAGGAAATGCACAATGGCAATATCTTATACAGATTCTGTGAAAGTTTCATCAAATTTCATTCAGTGGTATGAGAGGAGTTGCGGAATTACGTTACAAAGAAGACAGTTTGCTACCCTCAAAATAAACGTTTACTTTGACCAAAATGTAAAAACTTGAAAGTCTTTATATAAAAGGTATACATCTATACACATCCCGCTTTTTAAGCGGGGGGGGGGAGTAAAACAAAACAAAATAAGATGTCATTTTCTCAAAATCCATATTATTAATTTTTCGTACATTAACTATGTGTAAATATCAATATTTTTGGGTAAATTTTCAATTACACTGCGGTTTTTAATTGGATAGTTATATATAACTCAAATACAAAGAAATGTAAATATAATGTATTTAATTTTTTTGATAACACCTCTAACGAAGCAAAATTACATTGTATTTGTTCCATACGTGTGCAGAATATAATACCCCCTTTCAAGAGCTATCATATGTGTTTTCTGATCATTCGAATATTGTTCTATCAAAATCAAAACATTTCCTTTGTTTTCTGAGTTGAAAATCTTCAGCCGTTTTTTGAAACTGTTTGGGGCACTTTAACTGACTTTGGATGATATGGTTAATTATATGTGTTTAAATTATTTTGATAATGAATTCAGATTGACTACATCAGTAAAACGTATATTATCATGATGATAATTGATTAGCGATCGAAATGTTTCATTTAAACATGTTAAATATTAGGTAAAAAAAAATTAAGAGAATCACTTTCAGTCATTTATTTTAGCATAAATTTTAATATATATATATCCCAGTACCACCCCTCCCCCGCCCCTCTCTCTACATTTTCCCTTAAAAAGAATTATTGTGTTATAAATGTTTATGATCATTTCACTTCATTTCAAGTTATTAATGTACACTAAAATTAACAATACATTATCATGTACACAGTTGATCGATAGTTAAAGTTCTTCTGATCCCTCACGCTTTATCCTTGGTTATACATTTTTTTTTTTGCTATATGTATATATTTATCATAAACAATTTAAAATTTGCATAATTTATGAAATTTTACCTAGCACTCAACAGAAAACTATGTGTTAATTTTAAATTTATAATACACTATATTGGTTAAACGCAACCTTACATGACTGTTTATTTTCGATTTGATTAATAGATGTACACAAAAATTAAGTGTTCGTTTGGGTTAAACAGGAAAGAAAAAAGATCACAGCTTTATGTTTACAGTATATATATCAAAATTTGCACTAATGAAAATTTACACTAGACAATATGGTTAATTTTAATTTATGAATATATCATCAGTCAACCTTGCCACGCACTGAGGTGATCCAATGCAAAGCCGTCATGTAACATAACTGAATTTGAAATCATGTCATTTGTCAGTGATGATCAAAGTAGAATTAAGATAAAAAGCATACTTTCATATTATTATTTTTTCTTGTTTTATTTTATGTAGCACGCATTGTATATATGAACATGTTCTTTTTATTTTGTTATATTTTAGGGCTGTATAATGGAAGACGATAAGATCGAGCGTCTTCGGGAGCGGATCCTGCAGTGCCCGATATGCATGGATGAATACAAAGACCCGCGAATACTACCCTGTCATCACACGGTGTGTTTGAATTGTCTTCTTGATTACGTCAGACATTCCTCGTCATCCGGGCGTTTATTTCGATGTCCTCAGTGTAGGTCTGATATCTGTGTGCCACGAGGCGGCGTCAAAGATTTCCCGCCAAATTTTTACGTCAACTGCATTCAGGACGAACTTGGGTCGCGTCCTTATTTCGGAATCTGCGATATTTGTGAACGAGATTGGCTTATTTCGCAGTACAGGTGTGTAGATTGTGACCTTGATATATGCCGATTTTGTATTCACGAGCATAGACTTTTTAAACATGATGCCGGAAGGGATGTGACAATCATGCGCATAGAGACGGGAAATATTACGTCATATATGGCATCAGAAAAAGGTTGTGAGAACCATTCAGGGGAAGCATTGCAGATGTTCTGTAGCACGTGCGAAGTAGCCGTATGCGTCACTTGTGTTTGTGAAACACACAAAAAACATGAAACAATGCCTTTAATAAAGAAACTGATGGCATCGCAAAAAGCACTCCAATTTGACCTCGACGATTTGAAAACCGAGGTCAAACTAACACAGGATTCTTTGACAGAGGTACGCAATCTTCGAACAAAAATACAAGAGAAGTCCGATAGCACGATGACGTCAATTCGTTTACGAGCCCGGGAACTTGCAATCGAAATGGACAAAATGGCTGAACTGAAAATAGAAAAAGTCCGAGAAACCTCGAGTAAAGTCCTCCAAGATATTGACAGCTACATCAAAGAACTCGATCTTCTTCACAATCAGGCAAGGAGGGGGTGTGGCTTCTTAGAGGACTTACAAGAGGACGACGTCAGCTTGGAATTATTCACGTGCTTCACCAAATATAAGAAAGGGCTAGAGGTTGTCCGAAAATCAGCACTAAATAAAACAATCCAAACACAGATTCCCAATTTTGAACCCGGAAAAATATGGCAGTATTTTGGATACCACTTTATACGGTTTGGAGACCTGAAATTTGTCAAGGAAAAGACAATTTTCTTGGAACAGGAAAGAGAACCACGGTTTACCGGAACTTCCAAATGCCGGAAGTTGTACTCTGTCATTCGACTAGGACTTTATTTGTTATTCTTCCTTCTTATAATTTCCGGATTTTGTATTCTGACTAATAATTTGTGGACTTCCGATCACGTGTATCTCGAGGGAATTGTGGGTTGGCTTTTCTTCCTACACCTTACAATCACCGGTGCTTTTGCTTTCTACAAGTCAAGATAAACAAAGTGATAATAAAAGAATTGCGTTTTTTTGTTGTTTCAAATTGCTTAATCAAGTGTCTTACCATGCATGGTCTTCTGGAAGCTTTTATTATATACATCATGACCAGTTTAGGATCTAATATATTCACTGTGCAATGTAAACACAATAACTTTTTTTTTTAATATGAGTGATATTGGAAGTTTCGTTTTTACAATCCAATGTCCATATCTAGATAGCGCAAATTTTATAATTAATATATCAATTGACTGATATTATACGAGGAACAGAAATAAAACAAAAATTGATTTCGAAATGTATGTTTTATTTCATATCCAGTGTTGGAAATGAATTTTATATGAATTTGTTATCGACATGTGAAAGGAGATGGGCTAATAAGAGTGCAAACTGCCTTAGCATCAAATATAAATAGAAGGCAAATTCAAATTTTGTGAATTAACCATTTAAAGTAAACTTTTTTTATAATGATGTTAATTGAAAGGTAGGGAATCATGACAGAACTTTTCTCTGCGGAAATTCTTTCGACAAAACAATTCAAAATTATTTTTTTTAAATGTGAAATTATGGTCCAGGAAGAACTAGAGCTTTAATTTAAAATATATATAAGTCGTTTATATATTTCACGGCCCCAACCTCAGTCTCAAATTATGGCTAAAATTACTAAGGTAAGCATTGTGGCACACGACACTTGTTTTATTAGAGACTCATTTAGTAAATCATATAATACAACTTTCGATGAATTGGTATTAAAAGAAGTCAGGTAAGTAGGATTTTCGATATTTTTTTTTTGCTTGCCAACTTTTTTAAAAGTCAGGTAAGTTATAGAGAATTTTATTCCCCCCCCCCCCCCCCCCCACACACACCCACACTTTCAAAAACGATGCTACCTGTACGTCACTGTTTTTTCCATGCTGTGGTTGCAGTTTTGAGAAAGAAGTTATTTTGAGGGAAAATATTGCAACACCTGTTAAAAGTAGGCATATAGACTTTGTCATGTTGTTATTATTAACCATTCATTGATTTATGTATGGATTATATACAAGTTTGTTGGATTTGCTCGTTTGTCCTGTTCTATATCCAGCGTACTAAATATATGTATGTTTTAAGATAAAATTGACGTACACACAGATCTGATACCGGTATTTCTGACAGGAGTAAGGAGATCCTGCTATTAAAGGTTTGCTTTAGAGAGAGAGAGAGAGAGAGAGATATTTTCGTTGCAGGTAAATGTTTCGCCTCTCGCTTGATCTGTTCCGCTCCAATCAAGTCGACGTTACACGGCTCTAAAATTCGGACCAAGTTACGTTTTCGATATATGTATAGCATACATTTTCAAGGTACCATCAATGTCATGAAATCATATAAATATGTTATATATAAGTAAATGCTAATTTCATACCCTGCCTCTAAAAATTCAAAATTAATACTCGAGTTAAAGGTACTTAGACACAGATTTGAAGTCAATATTTTCTCTATAATATTACGACTTACATATTTTAATAGCATTTCACACAAAAAATTAATTTAAAATTTTATTTCATTTAAAAGTTATTAAAACTTCAAATTTTTTGGTGGGATTGATTGACACATCCTTGCACTCTCACAAATTTTAACCTTATTTTTAATCCTTAGGAAAAGTTGCAATCTTGTTGTGTATTAATGAGAAATATTAAAACTTTTATCCAGAAAAATAATTTTATTCAGAGTAGAAATGTTAGAAAAATATACGTCATTCTTTTGAATTTCAAACTCGTGTTATGTACACAGTTTTTGTAAACAGGGCACTAATTTGTTATTGTTGATGTTTAAAGCAAAAGTCCAAACCACAACTGCATATCTGTCCATATATATATATATATATATTGTGTGTTTGTTTTGCTTTCGAACATATCTACTGTGAATTGGATTACATGTATAAAATTAATATTTTTCATTTATACACAACGAGATTGCCACTGTTCCTAAGGATTAAGAATAGAATTAATTTGTGAAAGAGCAAGGATGTGTCAATCAAACCCGCCCAAAAAATTGTTATTTTAATATCTTTTACATGAAATAAGATTTTTAATTAATTTTTGTGTGAAATGCTATTAAAATATAGAATCATATATTATAGAGAGAATAATAACTTCAAATCAGTGTCTAAGTACCTTTAAATCAACTGCCATATAAATATGTTATATAAATGCTAATCTCACAGTAAATGTTCAGGTGAAGTGGACGCTATCGCTGATATTTATAAGAATGTTATAAATAATGTCAAGCAATGCACAATTAAGTTAAATAGCGTCTATGCTTACCTATTAAGGTAATTCCACCCTCCTATGATGTCATAGGTTTTTGCAAAAACTGTAATTAGTTTAAATTCATACCTAATAGAACATTATATTTTGAAAGAATGCTTTACAATAGATGTAATGATAAATATTGTTTAGTAAAAGAATTTAAAAAATGCACATTTCTTTATTTAATTATTCAATCTTTTAAAAATGTTGACAAGGGCAATAACTCCGTCTAAGTTCTCTTCATTCAGGCATTTGCTTTATTGTACTTTTAAATGTAAAATAGTTTCTCTGATATTCACAATTAAAAAGTATCTCATAAGTAGGAACATTTAGCATCAAAATTATTCATTTTAACCAGTTTTTACATATTTTTCATAATACTGGTTACAAAAAATGTGCGACTTTTTATGTTCACATACACTTCTGTTTATTTTTTGTTTCACATCTTAAATAATATGGTGACTTACACTTTTTTTGCAATAATTGGAAAATTTAAAGTATATTAAATAAAAATCAAAAGTCCAAAACAATATATCTGCAAAATATCTAAGCCATACTCCGTACAATTCTCGAAAGTTAAGATAAGATGTGACAGACAGAGAGATGCATGGATAGACAGACAGCTAGAGAGACACATATCCGGACAGAGTGATCCCCAGATGTCGCTTTGTATATGCTCTACAGGCGACCCAAAAATGTCTGCTAATAATGGGGAGGAACTAGTACCCATGGGAATCCCAACAAATTGTTGAAAGACATGAGCCCCAAACATCCAACAGATATTGCAATCTGAAACCAAGGCATCTGTTTCATATCATCTTTGGGGCACTTAATTGTGTAAAAAAAAAATCAAGGCAAATAATTTTGCAATCAATGAGACGTACAATAGGTCCATTTTTTTAATTGAACATGCAGCTGTATATGATGCCAAAACGCTTAGACATTATCGTGGGAAAGAGTAGTATAAAGTCTTGAAAGGTTTTGATGTAACTCATTTTGATAAATTATACTGTGATTTTCAAATTTCAATAAAGTTCCATTTAGATTTTAAGAATTTACATCACTACGTTCTGACTAAATATTGTTAATATGCAATACACCTCAAATTTCCACAGACAAAAAGGCATAGTCTCGATATAATTTTATGTAGATCACATTTCTTTTCTCACTTAGATCGTTATCAGTTACCTCAATAAGGTCAACCTAAAACGGCCAATAAATATCTCAGAGCTGGCGATTATCTTCTCTTTTAGGACTTTCTCTGACAGACGTATTATGGACCGCTTTGTTGTGGTTTGTCTCCTAGTGTTTTGTCCAGTAATTAAAGGTAAGAAAACAAATCAGACACAGATACGTACTTCTTCCACTTCGCCATACACCACGAAATTGATTTACCCCCATGCCTGCATTTCATTAAATTTATTACAAAATTCAATCAGCTATGATAAACACTGATATATACACACCTATAGAACATTCAAATTAGAAACACGGCTAATTTTATTTTAATACTAGATACTAGCTATAGAGACATCATTTGCGTATTACAAGAGAATTCCCTTTTTGCGCATAGACCTTGATCTTATGCATGTCATCAATATTTTTTTCTTTATTGCTTAATTAAAACTCATATCTTCTGATATACCAAGTGGAATACATTTTCTAGGTTAAATAGATTAGACATGCTCTGTAAATGATAAATTAATGGGAGTACTATTATACTTACTTGTGTTCTACCAGGTCGCAGAGGAATATACACCTGATAATAACTTAAATAGTGTTGACTTGGGGAATTTTTGTAAAGAATCTTTCATAAACAATTGAATATTGTAATATACAGTGTAGTTACTCTGTACTTCTTCTTTAATTGGAAAATATTTACATCCACTGAATATTTTCTCCTGTATTTCTTAAGAAAACCCATTGCGTTGATCACTGCATGAACTACATTAGGCCCGTACAGATTTCTTGATCAGTGGCTGTTCTATCAATGAAACGTATAAAGACGTTCGCATCATTAATACAATAGTAAATCTTTTTGACCCTATTTTAAAAGATTATTTAATCAGATATAAATATAAATAATAAAGTGTCTTTCTTTGTTATTACTGGAATTAACGGTCGCAGCTATTGCAGAAAAAAATTACATAACCCGCTTACGCGGGTTATGTATTTTTTCTTGCGACCGTTAATTGGAACACACAGCCCCTCCCCCTTCAGATTGAAATTTTATGCATTTTATCTCTGAAATAATTGAAATTCTTTTGAAATAGCTGCTCAGTTTGAGAGCGGTCACCACGTTGGAACAGTTACCAGTCACTCTATCACGGAAGCTTCCGGTATATGCGCGAGCAGAACACATCATGACGTACTCTATACACATAACGACTCGGGTGGCACACACCGGATTTTTGCCATAAGGTAGAGTTTTTAAAGTACAGTAAGCCAGTAGGAACCGGTGGAAAGGGGGCGACCCGCTTAATATTTACCATATAAAACTATTGTAATACCTTTTTATTATTTACATTTTTATTTGTCAAAAATATTACGTGTTAAATGTGATTATTTCATATTTTGGTGTAGTCGCTTTTTACAAATCAATCAATCAGTCCACTATGAAATCAATTGATCAGTCAAGAAATAAAGGATTGAATTATTCAGCTGTTGTTCAGAGAAAATACACATTATCCTTATTACCTATAATTATAAATGAAACTGATTATGATTTATTTGCATGTATTAAACATTTTCACAAATCAATCAATCATGTGACAATCAATCAATAGATTAGTCAATAAACAGATATATGACCGAATGAGTCAATAAATTGCTTGATTAGTGTATAAATCCATTAACCAATAAACCAACCAATTGAATAAATCAGTGGTTCAATGAACGACTAATAATTCATCAGTCAATCGATTAATCATTAATTGAATTAATCTACCAATCAGTCAATCATTCTATCTATATATAGCGCTACATCAGGACATCGACTGGCTACTATTTATATCAATGGAGCTCATAGCCAGGACTGGGAGGACATTGCTTGTGGTCCGTGTCCCGGGGGGTCGGGGCACTGTATCTACATCTCCGACACCGGAGGAAACGCGGGCTATGACGCCAATACTATTTATAGAATCCGAGAACCCTCCAGCATACATGACCAGAGTGTGAATCTAGACGGTACTCTGGAATTCAGGTCAGTGAATGTCAAATCACTTTATGTAGTGAATACAAGTGAATAACAAGGAAATACCCAATATATGATGACATTGTGTGCTAGCTGTACATGTACTGAGTATAACCCATAACTTTTCTGTCAGCATTTTATGGGCAAATAATCAGCATTACGCTCCTTTTTAATCACATTTTCTTCGGCAGAAAAACAAACCGCAGGCTACCATCATACCCCCTTTCTCTTAACCTTGGTATGAATTAATGTAGGGAGACCCTTAATCTGCAAGTATATAGCATGGAGTTAACGTTCATTAAAATTCCTAAAATATATATTGTATCTTAAAAGAAGTTTCCAACTTTGTCTACCTTTTAATTTAATAAGTTGGGAGGGACTCCATTTTGAAAACAAATTAACTTCCGGTAATTTGAACTCATTCAAAAAGTTTTCTGATCTTGCTGGAGAAGATGCGATTGGCTCATTTTAAAGCTGAACACGAACGCAAAGAAATATGTCCGCCATATTCGATCGGACTCTCGCTATATCTGAGGGCCCTATCGCAGCTCACTTGGTCACTGTTCAGTGTAATCAGTCGTCACCATTGTTATACTATACCGCACTCGTAGCGACAAAAAAAAAAATACTGTGTTCTTCTTCTCATACCGGAGAGTAAGATACCAGAGAGTCTTGCAACAGGTGCACAGGTCAGTGCAATATACAAACACAAACATAAAAAATAGCATTAAAATAAAGACAAAGGTAATGCAAGATAAACAAAACGAAATCGGATAGGCATTTCACGCCGATACCTATGACAATAAAGCAGTCAGGTGTAACTAATGAGAAGAGTATACCCTGGTGCTGATATTGTAGAGAGTATGAACAAAAATGGCAGATGCCTATTTACGAGTCACTTTCAGCTTTAAATGAATCTGTCCATTGTCACTATTAATAGAATAAAGAACATGGCATATAAAAATTAAGATTTGTTACAGCTGGGATCAACACGATTGTGAAACATTATTGGTGGATCCACGAGGAGAGGTGTACGTAGTGTCCAAGGTGGGTCCAGGGCACCACGGTAAATTTGTCCACCTGCCGTCCAGCGCCTGGAATCAACACCATCACGTCTGGGTTAACGACGGAGTATACCTCCCCATCACCGCCAGCAGCAATAGTCCAGTTGGAGGGGACATATCCCCCCTTGGTACCGAGGTGTGTCATTAAATTTTAATGACCTTACTAGGAGTATGATCTGAAAAAAATCTCTCTGTTATTAGTCTACACTACTCACTCTAAAACCAAGGATCGACAATTCTCATATATGCTAAAAAGCTTATCATATACACATGTAACGATTCGTATATCAATATCTTAATATCGTCAGATATCAAAAGCATTTTGACCTAAAATATTGATAAAATAAGAAATATTTATTCCAAAATATCAACTGGACATAGGAACAAAAAGTCGATTCTCAGATTTCTAAATGTCCAGTTCGTTTGACTTCAGATCCTGTTAAAAACCTATGGTCACGTGTACTACTGGCATATACCAGATGGAAACTATGAAGCCCACATTCACAACCAACCCCAGGCCCTGCCCTACCGCCCCGAGAGGCAGGGGGAGGCGGTCTGCTGGAAGGCAGATAACACGGGTTATTACACACTCTCTGAGGGCGCAAACCAGTCCCTTAATTTCTATAGGCGGATCTCAGCCATACCCTCAGGGAGCGTGGTGGGTTAAAACTCTGTATCCACGAATCTCATATTCTCTATTCAGTGAAATTATTGTATATATCCCTTAGTGCTCCAATTACCGTTTAAAATTCGTTTGGAAATAAAAAGAATTGTCTATCATCACCTGCATACAGAGTTTATATCTCTCAGTTGGTTTGATAAGCAAGAGTATGCTCTACATATGACATTTTCTAAAACGAGGTAGATTATTGACAAACAAGTTGAGGAAACAAGAATATCAACAGTCTCGTTGAAAGTCTTCATTTCGTAAGTTCTATGATCGATACAATGACCTTGTCAGCAATAAGCAATTTATCACTGATTGAGTCAACTGCTTAGTGACGTTTTTCCTACTAATTGTTACATGTAGTACACATGTACTGATATATACACCAAATTGATCCCAATGTGGGATGTAAAGACTTGACCTTTTGACCTTAAAATTAAAAGGGATTTTTTTTTTTTTACATTATTGTGACATGATTTTAATATTCAAGTTATATTCAAAATAGTTCGAAGAACTCAAGTAATCATCTGGAAAATGTTATTTGTAAAGAAGTGTATGAAGTTTTATCTCCGACTTGAACCTTCTTATTTTAAAATCGAAAGGAACAAGGATTTTATAACATGAAGTTTCATGGCGGAGTTTTAAAGACTATCAAGATACTACCCTGAAACAAAATTGTTCTACAAAATGAAACAGGGGATGGTCACTCCTTAATGACACTTGATCCCATCTCTAATGTTTTAGAGGTCTGCTGTTTGCTCTGCTAAAATGTGACATGTTTAATGGACTTAGTGTTTGAATACTGTTCGTCATCTTCTATTTCATGCAAAATATCATTCTCTATCCAGAGTTGTCGTTCCTACTACGCTCCACCATACACTTACAACTACACCTATAGAAACACTTTGTTGAACAAATTGCACTTTAAAGTGATTTAAATTTTAACATAGGCCAAAAAAAAAGTCGAGAAAAATTCTCCAGAATTCGAATGAACAATATTGAAATAAGAAAAACAAAACTTTAAATAGGACATTGTACGGAAGCGTATTAGGGCCGCAGCAGTATCTTTTTTTTTAATTTGTTTAAACAGGTTAATTAATAATTTGTTATAACAGATTACTAATTTGATTTAACAGATTATTAATATGATATAACAGGTTATTAATTTGATATAACAAATTAATAATTTGTTATAACAAATTACTAAATTGTTATAACAAATTACTAAATTGTTATAACAGATTAATAACTTGTTTTAACAAATTAATAATTTTTATATAACAAATTATTAATTTGCTAAAACAAATTATTAATTTGTTATAACATATTATTAATTTGATAAAACAAATTACTATTTTTTACAAAATTGAAATGTATACAGATCTTTAGAAAGCCAGATCATTTCAAAAATCTTATTATAATTCGGATTTAATCTGAAAATGCAACTGTCAAAGTTTTTGGCCAAAAATAAGGCTTTAGTTGGACTATTGAAAGCTTTTCCAGCAGGCTCTTTTTTATTATAAAAAAAATCATTTATTTGTTAAAAGAAATTGAATGACACAATAAGTATTTAATATGAAATTTAACCAAGCGCTATCCACTCAAGAATATTGTATGTTTTTTTTCTTTCGTTTTCCAGGGATAGTTGTTACGGAATGTATTTTTTCCTTGATAATTTATCTGCAAATTCTTTTTGGTCAGTGTTGCATTTGTTTTTTTCTTTTCCAGCTTTATACGGAACCAAAGGTTCATTTATGAATATCTACTTTTGTACATGGAAACATAAATATTTAGCAGATCTATGAGAAGTCATGTCACATGTATTAAATGATTTTTTTTTAAATTTAATAGATTTTATAGAGAGAGAGAGAGAGAGAGAGAGAGAGAGAGAGAGAGAGAGAGAGAGAGAGAGAGACTATCAAAAGAAAAATTTAAACAAAATACAAAAATAAAACAATTTATATTGTAACATTCTATAAAGTTGCATAAATTAAAGCAGGAAAAAATTTTTCTAGTTAAACAATGTATAATGTACAGTCTGGAGAGGTAGTTGTTCAGTCTACATACATCTTTCAGTAAATGCATGAAAATATCCACAAAGTTATACGACTTCAAAGTGCAGTGCATGCTGTTAATGTATACATACCTATATGTACACTACAATAAAATTTAATACACATCAAGCATATTAATATAGTTTTCAATCCTAATAAATGTGCTTATCTATTAAAAACATGAAGCAAATATTCAGAATCTTTGTTTGACATCGACAAAATATTCTATTCATAACTTCTCAAAAGTGTACCCTATTATTATATTCACAAGTGTTGGTTTTGAAATTATATAATTAACTATTAATGACAAGATTAATAATTTGTTATAAAAATTTTACTTTTAAAGTTATTCAAATTGATATAACTGTTTTCAATACAATTATGTTAATAGATTTAGAAAATTCTAAAGACTATTTAAATCATATTTGTTTTTTTTTTTTTTTATGAAAGGTGAAAGATACATTTTTCATTAAAATTAAGAAAACAATAAATATAATTCATGGGTTACAAATAATGTAAAATAAAAAGAAATAAATAAAAAGAAAAAAGGTATGTCACAACAGGGAAAATATTAAATGTCCCTATCGTGCATCCTTTAGTTTGCAAATTTTTTTCTCATAAAAGTTGTGATGCTGTTATATTTTCAACTCTTGTGATAGTAACACAGTCAAATGTTGGTCTGATGATTAGATTTTCCTAGATCATCTGCCTGTAGCAGAGTTTTGATCTGGTCTTGACAATAATATTGTTCTTACTTTAGATGACATCATAACCATGTAATGGGAGTAATAACAGTTGAGAAATGACTTAAGGTTTCTATATTTTGTTAAATAAGCATATAAATCCTCTGCAAGAAAAAGAATTTAACCATAAAAGTTTATGAATTGATTATTTTTTTTATTTAATATTTATTGGATATACTAGTATTTTGGAACAAGTTTACAGTTACATGTATAACTATTAAAGTTTGAGGTGTCGTTGGATCGAGGTGTCTCACATTTCTTGGGCTCGGTATGTAACCAAAAATTTTCTGGTCCAATGGCCCAATGCACTTTCCCCATTTTTAAACTATACTACGACGTTCTTGGAAAGTGCTCTGGCTAGACAACGGTGAACCATATGTTCTCATGTCTGAAATATCTTGCATTATTTGAATGAAAAGTAATGAGGTACATGTAAGAGATGGGAAAGCTTTTTTTTTTCAAGAGAACTGAGTTCTTTGTTATGATTTTCTGACACTGACCATAGACCTGAATGAAGCGAACCCTTTGCTTTAGTTCTATACATTGACAATTTCAGAATTTAACTGATCAACTGATTTATCATTAAACAATAAAATGTATAGCAATTTTCTCTTCACGGCTCCGCCCTCACTAACGGTCACACCGTTTAACATATTATTGAATTAAATGGTTCCAAAATGTAGGCGGGAATCGAGAGTTAGCGTGCGTGTTTCTTACCGCGAAGAAAATCAACCTAAATAGGGACAGGGAACCAGGCTGAATAAGAGGACAGGGAACCAGACTAAATAAAGAGTAGATCTGTATGAAGACTAGAGGTACTGTGAGCAATGAGCTATATAATATAACAAATTATTAATTTGTTGTGTTGCTTTATATTGTTTTACTAATGTGTTAAAGAGGAATAACTCGTCCTATGAAATGTTAACAAATTACTAAATTGACGTTATAACAAAAAATGACAATTTTTTTGCCAAGGAAATTTTTAATACGCGTCGAATAAAAAAGTAAAATAGGAGGTGCACAATGGCAATATGTAATAAAGATTCTTGAAAGTTTCATTTAATTTCACTCAGTAGTATAAGAGGAGTTGCGGAAAGAGAAAAAGCGTAACAGACGGACGGACGAAATACGGACGGACAGGCAACCAGATTAAATATACCCTCCCGCTTTTCAAGCGGGGGGTATAATAATAATGGTCTAATTCAAATCAATGAAGCCGTATTTAAGATAACTAACTTGATTCATTACGCTGAAGTTATTCGTTTGCTAAAAAAGGGAGTGTCAGATCATTAAGTCATATCTCGCTAGGATCAGATTACTGACTGATAAATTAAACATTCTGTACGATCCATATCTCTCTGGCCGAATTAATTAAGAACGACTTGATCATCACGAAAGTTTCCGTGCTTAGGTTGTGTGTCATTTTAAGCTTATATGAAAAAAGAGACGTAACATCCTTTTATCAGAAAGAAATCGTACAATGAATGGGAATAATTTTGTAAAAATTACATCATGTAAAAATTAGGACAGTTTCAAATAGGGTTGATTCATATTCCATTTTCGGATCAATCCAATTTATACCCCCAAGTAATCAGATTTTGCACATTTCCATCTGCAGCTGCACTTTTTACTTCCAAATACAATATCAAATCGTACATTAAATCTATGATTCAAAATAATTATACCCCCCGCTTGAAAAGCGGGAGGGTATTTTGAATTTAATCGTTAATTTTGCATTTACCTCTTCTAGTAAATTCAAAATTTACGTCCGTCCGTCTGTCCGTCCTTTTTACATGTAATTTCTGGGGTACCCATCTCTTATTTTTTCAACTCCTCTCATACCACTGAATGAAATTTGATGAAACTTTCACAGAATCTTTATTACATATTGCCATTGTGCACCTCCTATTTTACTTTTTGAACCGACACATATTTTGGGTTTCCCGGCCACAGGAAAACATGGACTTTTTCACCAGTTATAACCATATGGGAGGCGGGGGGTATCATTTAGTGAGCTCATCGCTCACAGTACCTCTAGTTTAGGTCAACAGAAGTTTATAGGCACCTGATATCATGTTGTAAATTTTGAATTTACTAGGGAGAGGTGTAAATTTTGCATTTAAATGTACCTAATTTATTAAATTCAAAATTTACAACATGATTCTAATTCCCCCTTCTTACATGTAATTTCTAGGGGTCGGTTGGTGTTGATTTTTCAGTTCTTCATACTAGATTTGTTCTGTTAAGGTTCATAATCCCTCTGCTCACTATAAAACGTTGCTTGAATCTTCCGGAAATCGACATGTACCCGGAGTGGTTTTTATGTCACACAATCAATATTTATAAGAGGCGGGGCTATCGATGGCATCATTGTTGACATCTCTCTCTCCAAAAATTCGAATACGTGTTTAGCATATTACAGTGATGTCAATATGAAATTATTTATAAAATGTGATGCCACGCAAATTTTAAACAATATTTAATTTGCTAAATTCTGAAAAACGGCAAAACAAAAAAAAAAAAAAAAAAAAACACGCTCAAAGACATGATTTAGATCGAGGCCAGGTTGAAGAATACAATGTAACAGTTTTCAGGAGTACGCTCGCAGGTGGACATCACGTGATGAATTGTAATTATTATATTAAACAGGTCAATCGAAGACATAACAATGGAAGCTAGAAGTTTGTTTTGAACATGTTTTTTTGTTAAATTAAGTATGAGCACACATCTGTCGGCTCTTCTCCTTTTAATATAGCATTATTTTGTTCAATATACAACTACAGTTTTCTTAAGAACAGCCGACAAACATGTGCTGACTATGTATGATGAAAAACGCGTGACCCTGATTATCTATTGATATTCAAGAAATCTTCAGGCACCATACCTTCTATATTTATTTAATTTATCTCGGAAAGACCGTTTTAAATTCACATCCGTACCATGAATACACGGTTACGATATCGGGGATTTATATGATGGAAAAATATCAACATTTTATGAAACCTAAATTTACGGCATTTTTTCTGGCCAGTTAAGTCCACCCATTCTTTATAAAGGAATAATAGATCATATCATTAGGAGTTATCTCTCTTATCAGAGTATCAATGAACCTTAAAAGATTTTTTTATGAGATTGAATATTATTTCATTGGCGTCGGAAGCAAATTGAAAGTTGGGGGGGGGGGGGGGCTAAGTGTAAAAAAAAAAAATTTGTACCTCCAAAAAATTTCCCCCCCCCCCCTTTCCCTCCTATGTGTTTGTTATCTTCACCCTTTCATTCTTGATAAGATTAAACTCTATTCTCAATCAAATGTCAAATATTTAATCATGTTTTGATACTCTTACTTTTATAACCTTCGTTAGATAGTATGTATTTCGTACTTTTAAAATCTTTGTTTCAATATACAGTTAATTGTTAACTGCTTGCTGCATTTCCTTTGCTGGTCAATTGTATTTGTATATACATGTATATCAAAGGTGGTAAAGAACATTTCTTCCATTAGAAATTATTTTATATTTATACTTTAGCATCTTTTACATTGAAATACAGTTCATTAACGAACAGTGTTCAAGAGCAAAGACTCTTCAAAAATTATGCAAAACATGGAGTGGAGGATCCAACATCCATCCCTTGCCGATGGGTCACACTCGCCGAGTTCTTGTCATCAAAAAATAGCCTGGCGAATGGTGTGAAAAACGTCTGTCAAAATATAAATTCTTCCCCATCATACAAAACTCCATATCCAAATTTACAAGAGGGTTTGATTGATTAATTGTGTATTGTTTAACTCCATATCCAAACTTACAAGAGGGAAGACGGGTTATTAAGTGTTGTTTCTGGATAAGATCTTTTTAGAAAACTACGTTGAACACTTTGGGAAAAAAATGATATAATACTTTTTAGCAAACATATATTTTATTCTACTGCAGTGCATATTAAATTTTCATATCTTACAATTCTTTCTTACACTTTATATTAACATAATTATACATGATATATTACATACATCTAATATAAATAAAAATTAGCTTTAAAATATAGTCATGTGCTGCTAACAATCAACATTATTGTACTGTAATATAGTATTATACAGAAGTACATTACAGTTCACCTACTTTACTGATTTCAGAATTTACTCGCTACACTGACAACTCCATTTAAGGTGGTTCTGTCATGACTCTATTGTATTTAACTGTGATATACATGCATTATCTATTATTGTATTAATTAAATAGTGCTTGTGATCCATTATATGATATTAAATCAAATATTTTAACTGATAAATTTTTGATTCAGTATAGTTAGGAAATTTCAATTTAAATCGGTTTGATATCGTGGTTGAAAAATTGTTCAGTAGTAATGTATGTAAAAAATTCTTGGTGGACATTTATTAAACAGTAATGTTAATGAGTTATAATATCACTTTGCTACTGTTATAAAATATATGCACACACATATCGCACATGATATCACACACATTTATATTACAAAACAAAGTATTATAAGGACACATTAGAATGCAATTTTCTTACATGTATATAACAAATGACATGTACATTTCTCTTCAATATGATTTGACAATACAATAAAGCATTGGCTTGAAATAAAGTGTAGGCAAATACAACATTGCACTTTTATCACTCTATATATTTGAGTTACACAATGTCATATTAAATGTAATACATATAGAGATGTGTGCCAAAAATTAAAATAATTTAATTTTTTTTCTATATATTTAATTGAAAAACCACATAGTTCAATCGCAGGCAAATGGTCAATTTTTGTTCAATTTCATCATCTATTTCTGTACTTAAGGGGGCCGACTATGATTTTATTGTGTGAAAACTACAATAGCGAAATGTTTGTTTTAAAATTCATGAACATATGTTTATTACTTTTTCTTATATAACATTTTTTGTTTTACAACATATATGCAATAATACGGTTTAATAATACAACTTTATATTCTAATACAAAGTTCTAAACTGTACTTCAATACTCTATTGGAATGCAATTTTCTTACATGTTAATAACAAATGAAATGTACATTTCACTCTCAAAAATTCCTTTTAAAAATCAGTTATTTAAAATCATAATAAAATTTTTTCGACCCTTTTATCAATTTTGTATTTGAGTTATTAATTAAATGTAAAAAAGTTGCTTTAAAAATAATTTTATTTTGTTCTCTATATACTTCATTGAAAACCACATATAGTTAAATCGCTGGCAAATGATCAATTTCTGTTTAATTTCATTAAACCAGAAATTATGTTTCTTTTTTCCTTAAAAGATCATTTTATATTTAGTTTAAAAAAAGAAAGTTCATCATTTACATCAGTTCTAATTTACAAAATCAATGTTGGCTATATAATTCATTGTGAGTGTGTATGAATAAAATTCTCATGTCGCACTTAAATTACAACTTTTTTAAAAATGCTGATCAGATTAAAACTATTGTTTTTATCAAATATAACAATTTCTTTGATTATTGAGAATTTTGTGGTAAAACCTGTTATTAAATGTTGACATTCAAATGATCTCAAAAAATGTTGTTTTCAATGAAGTATATAAAGAAAATAAAATTATCTTTACTTTTTGGCACACATCTGTATATATGAAATGCAAATACATTGTATATTCTAGTAGCACGTTGTAATTAAAAAAACAGTACAAATAATTTTTGCTGTACGGTTTTATTAAAATATTTATAGTATTGTGTAATAACATTATAACATATAATGTAATATAAGGTAAACATATTCATTTTGTTGAAAAATAACAATGAAAAAGGAGTATCAAAATCAAAAAGTACCAATTTTTTTTTTTACATGTCACTTTTCGATCTTTGTAGTTTAAAGAAGATTTTCCGACTTATTTAATTGTAAAATTTAACTCACTTCGGTAATGACACACATTAAAATGAAATTATTCTTTAAAATTAACATTCTTTTCAGTTTAACATTTTACAAAACAAGGAAATCGCTATTCTATTGCTTCATTATACAATGATATAAAAAACACAAAATACATAAAATGTATATATATACATTTTTAGGTATTGGCCATTGTGAAAGACTGAATGAAACTTTCTTCCATCTTTGAAAATAAAGAATATTTATACACACATAACAATAATATTTGGACTTATGAATTGAAGTTACAAAAAAAATCATATTATTTGATAAGTTAGTAACTTACTTAGGAATAAGTAAAAATTAAAATTGTAATAAAATATCGAAATAAGCAGTTAAACTATATTTACAAATTAAAATATTGATATATTCCTTGGAACTCTGATTATATATTGTGGGAACAATACAAAATACAAATTATATTTAACAACTCTTTATGCTTTACATTTCATTATTAGCTGTGGCTGTATATTTGTTTAAAAAGGATTACTCTTAAAAACAATGAAATTTCTAAAGTCACACAATCTAATCTAAAAATAAATAATTACTTTAATGGAACCCAATCAAAATTTTAAAGATCTTCAATTTTGAAAGAATAACTTTTAATTAAATGTAGTGCTACTGATTATATACTGGTATCTGATTATGTATATATTCTTCGCTGGGAAGTTATGGCTGATCATATATCGAGAAGAAATTTGCATTTTTACTGAGTGCAAAATTTAAACGTTTAATTGCTTTTTATCACAGTTTTCACTCTTTATCCAGTTTATTTCAGCGGTTGAATAAAATGTTCTACAATTTGTACTCCAGATTTTTGTTAACATGGAGCATTAGAAGAACTGAAAAAAAAGTTTCAATTGAAATTTATTAACTTTTTGAAATTAACTTTTTACATTTTAAAATATATTCGCACCTATTTATTACCAAGGATTTTTTCACCGAATGTTTTTAGAGCTGATAAATAGTAAGTTGTGGTAAAGAACAGGAAAAAAGGGTTAAATCAAAAATAAAACTAAATATGTCATTAATATATTTTAATTTTTATTTCGTATTTTTCTGAATATGAACACTTCTCTAATTCAGTGGATTTTTTCTTCTCCGGAGTCAATTGACTTCGGAAAAGTAAACATGCATCATATACAGATATATCTGTATGTTACGAAAAGCTAGAATTTTAAAATAAAGTTTTTTGCACGAAATCAAATAAAAATATATATAGTAAAAATAAAAACAAAACAAATAATAATAATAGTTTGATATTGAATTTTAAAATTCAAAAGCAATTTTCTTTTGAATAAGTTAATAAAGCTAACGCAGATCATGCATATTTATACATTATATATAGTTTAATACATTTTAACAAAAACTCATGCAGTTACATAGGCCTAGAGTGCAATGCCTAGTGCTTAAATACATATTTCAATATTCAAGAGGGTAGACATAGAAAACAATAAATACTTATTTCCCTAGCTTTTATATATGCTGTACTACTTTGATAAAAAAAACAACAAATTTTGGCATTTGGCAAACCCATTTCTCAAATAATGACTAAATCCGTCAGAAATGTGTTCAGTAAAGTATGTTTTAATAAACGTAAGTTACAATTCAAAGTGAAAAATCTAACTTATTTTCAACATCATAAGTTACATTGAAATGTTGAGATTCTATTGTACAAAAATATATGCATCATCTTGAAAAATCTAGAATTGTATAATAATAATCAAGTATATCTTGTAAAATATTAGTTTTGCGCATTTTCTCACTATGACTATAGTGAAATACAACATTAGGAATACAGTCAAGTAGTTATGCTACAAAAAATGCATATACATTATACAAAACACTACAATTTACGTATTTTGATATGACGCAGTTGATATCGAAAGTTTAAAACTGAAACCAATAAAAACACCTTTGAATATTGAATTCTGGAAGCTTTGTGACGTCATATCTAACCGCCAAGATTCACTTTCCTTTAGATGGTGGTTTCTTAGACTTAGCGCGACAGAGAAACCTGGAGGTATGTGAACTTTGACACAGTTTCTTTGATTTCTGGTGAGTGGTCGTCTGTCGGACTTTAAGAATGGCCGTGCGGCAAATTACACACCTCAGCGGAAGACAGCGCTGCGAAAGCGCCACCTGGATGGTCTTGATAAAACACTTCCGGCAGACAATCTTGTGGCCGCATGGGAAGGTTTGCATAGTAGCCTTTGCCGTAAGACAGACAACACACTGAAATATAAATAATTAAATTTATAGAAGTAAATTAGATCAGTCAAAATTGTAAAAAAAAAAATTAACTTTTAATTTATTTAAGGAATGAAGCTTATTTCAACTTATGTAATCCGATAATATACATGTTAAGTTTACGCTTCATAAACCGCGAAGCTTCGCGGTTTATAAAGCGTAAACTGTCCCAAGTTATGTTATATCGGATAACATAAGTTGAAATAAGCTTCTCTTATAATTTAATTTCAATGTAGACAATGAAACAATATTTCCTCCAGAATAAGGTTTCAAAGTTAGCATTATTTTAAAAGTAACGTCAAGCGCAGTGATACGTTTTTGACGTAACTCATTGTGACGTAGGCAAGTTATGTTATTCGAAATGGAAAAAAAAAAACGTTTAACCAATCAAATGACGCGTTAAAACTGAAATTAAATTATTGTTCTTTATGTGCATGAATAATATTAAGGTTTAGACCATTGGTAGGTATACATTAGCAGATGTGTAGTTTAGTCCTTTGTAAATCACATGTATATCTTTGATTTAACAGTCAGGAGACTTCTGTTGTTTAAAAACATATAGTCCATTCATTTCAAACGTTTTTGTCCTTTCTATTTCATTTCATTCAACATTAGTCCTACTACTTAAAATACAGTTTACATTGCGTTAGTTGCTTTTTGTCTCCAGATTGAATTCCTTGCTAATTGTCGATAGACATGAGTCTTTTTGAGTGTCTATTTACAATTATTATTAGGTTCAGGAATGAGATTTAGAGAAAACCAGTGACTAACAAGCTGGAATTCTTTTTCTCCCATTAAAACACCACACAGTATATTAATTGCAAGAATTACTCACAAATCAATACTATTTAGCAAACAGTGACGTCATTATAATGTAAGTATCGTGTAATCATGACAGCCAATGAAATGCTTGCTTGTGGTTGCCTAACGTGTTTGAAAGAAATCAGCAGTGTGCAAGAGAGGAGAAACCTTATGGCAATATGAAGAAAGATTAAAAAAAATAAATTTTTCCAATTTACAAAAAAGCCAACTGATACAGTTCCTGAAATAATTATTTGATTTTTAAAACACTTTTTTCCTTTTTTTTATTGATTTTAAACGGTCTTTTCTACTCTTTTTTTTTAAATGAAAAAAAACACATTTTTTTTTACTTCACATGAAATATAAGAAACGAAAGATGAAAGTATGAAAAGATGGTGGCAAGATTTTTCTGCCCACTTCATATGCAAGTAAATTATGTTAACTTATGAGAGACGTATTTCACTATGCAAGATAGTAAGCTGAGTTGTAGGTTACCAATGTCTTGGACAGTCTGGTAAACTTACATTCTTTCTACAGAAATATGACATCATAAAGCAACATAATTATATTGTATCTTTTACATATTTTCTACAGAAATATGACATCACAAAGCAACATAATTATATTGTATCTTTTATCTACGGTGTTGTACATTTCCAAAGATAGTAAGTACATAATTATAAGTTTACCATGTCTTATTTATTCAATTTGCTCTAAACAAACTGATAACTTGCATGTAACTTGCATAATTATCTTGCAATTTGACATATCTTTCTCGTATGTTGACATTTATCATATATTTAAGGGACAGAAATATTAACACAACATAATATTACTATATGAAAGATGCAAATTCGAAGAGGAAGAGGGTGGGTTTTGAGCAGAAAACACAGAAATGATTCCAATCGAAATTAAGGTAATTTCCTATGTGAGTAACTAACCTCTTCTTCTTCAGCCTGTATTCCATCTATTTCACTGTCGTCAAGCTTCGCTAACAGCTTGTCCTGAAAAGAAAAAGACAGATTTTCCTAGAGTCCAGGTTTTCGACATAGGCCATACATTTTCCACACCATTCAATAAACAGTCGATCTAACTGATGTTCTGGAGATCTGTACACGCTAGACAAATCATTTTCCATCATTCAGAATACTAAGAGCTTGATATGTTATTTCCAACTTCAGAAATGTCATTGTCATGTAAGTAACTGATGCGAATATAAATAAATAAATTTGATAATAATACATATCGATGAATTTCTTACAGGGAAATCAATTTTTAAAACTGTAAAGTGCTGTACTTCTTTATTATAACTAAATCTACATATTGTCAATGATTCGTGAAGAATAACAACGAACAGGAACTCTTTTTTTCAAGAAAGAAATTGTTATCAAAGAAACTCAACAATGACCTTAATAAGTTTAAATTATATTTATTTGTAAGGATCTATGGACATAAAGGTAATAAAAATAAATAACCAAATATCTTGAAAAGGTTTAAGTTTATTTTTGCATTAATGAATCAGAATCAAAGAAGACCAGCTGTGTTTAAAAGCCCCACGCTTTATCCATATATAAAAAGCCTTGATTTAATATGCACATATTTTAGTGTAATGAATATGTTATTATATATATTGGGGTTCTTTAAAATCAAAATGCCCTCTCTATACATGAAAATCTTTAAAATAAAACCAAAAAAAAAAACCCATTGTAGTTTAAGTTTTAAAAATCAACATAACATTGGTATTAAATAAAATTTACAATAACAATAAAAAGTAAACATAATAAAGATCATAAAAGATGACAAATTCAAAAAGGATCAATAAATATTTCATAAATAATCAACTTTCTTTGGCAAAGGAAATCCTTCAGCTTCCTCGCAGACATGTTTATATCACTTTACGTAAATTATCGCCAGGAATGACAGTAAACCAAGAAATGAAAACATAACACAAATATAATTAATGGCATGTCTGGTAAAATATAGACAATATTCCATGATCTACAGAGGCTATCAATTCGTGTTATTTGATAAGTATATATCCCGTCTGGACACTTAGATACAATTGCTCCTTATGATCTACAGACTGTAAGCTTATATGTAATGTTTCACTCATATTTGGAATTAAATGGCGACAAGAAACATTTTGTTATCGATATGCGCTGCCATTAGTGGATTTTTATTGCTGCTTGTACACTTTTTTACTTTTATTGTTGGTATAATATGTGCATTTGTTTCTCGTAATTGAAAAGTTTTGTCAGTTTATTACCTCCTTGCATCGCAGTTGAAGGGAATGTTGTAACGCGCTCGTGTGTGTGTGGGTGGAATGCATGGTGTTTGTCCTTGAGTGCATAACGGAAGTGACGTGAGTTGCATCCGGTTTGAGGTGGAATGGCGCCTTGGTTGATAGATAGGAGGATACACCACTTTGCAGTGCCTTGGTATATGTTGATCCGTATCTACATTTAAGGATACGCAATGTACCTTACCTACTGATAATTTTCTATATTCTAGATATTCTATTTTTAAACTTATACTACACATACGTGTTCTTAGACAAAAAATCAGCATGTGTTACCAGGGAATTTGAACGGATATTAAATGATGAAAATTCTTGCATTTTTCAAAGAAAAATCTACAAAAAATACTAAACTTAAATTCCAGATTTTTTTTCAACCAAATTTGTTTAAGAAGAGGTGTACAACACCATGTATAGACATTAAATGAATATCACAGGGGTCTTTCACTTACTGGAACTCTTCAACTCCAGGGAAAAATCCAATAAAGTTCAAACTACATTGCGTATGACCTTAATGAAATATTTTTTTCATAGTTCAGTCACCGTAAGTAGAAATATTTTAATTTATGTTCCTTAGTTCTACTGCCAAACGACAGAGCTTGTTTTTTTTTGGTGGTAAAAGCAGGCAAAATTTATATTAAAATATATACAGTTTTTTAACACCGAAGCCGGATTTTAACATACCCCCTTTGGCCAACGAACTTGAATATTGAGTAGAGAATATTACAGCAAATCAAAGACAAGGCGAAGCAGAGCACCCCCCCCCCCTTATAAAATATTTAGAGCTATAAATGGTAGCAAACTCAACAACAACCCCGATGCTAATTACGTCACGTCCTGATGATTGCGTCACATCCGTTTCGCACAATGATTAAGCTAACACACAGAGACTATGTACTGCAGTATCCACTTACTTCGTTGCGAGGGTATAATATAAGATAAAATTTATTTCAATAAATGATTTTAAAAAAAATTGGCAAAATGCCAAGAAATTGTGGCAGAGTTATTTAGACAAACAATAAAATAAGACTGTCGGGCAATGCAAGGAAGACAAAACAATTTTCTGAAACGCTCATAAAAATGATTCAGTCCCTGTTACCGACAATTCAGGAGAATTACAATGCAATGCTATTGTCAAGCAAGCTGGAAAAGAATTTCCAAAGGCAAGATTTGATGTTTGACATAAGAGTGAATAACATTCAAAGAGGAAACATTTTTCTTTGTAGGTAGAACCGCAAAGTCTTAGAATGCTCGTTGTTTTATGAAACCGAGAGCTAAAAGCGTCTATAGAAATCTGGTGCAAGAAATAAAATTTTTATAATCTTATCATTTCATTGATTTCCCAAATGCATGTATTCATTTAATGGTTGGAAATGTTTCAGGAATAGCGCAAGAAAGTCATGCGTTTTAATTATTGGCAAACATCCTACGCTTGGCTGCACTGGTACATTTAGAACACAGCCATTATACACGGTACAGTGCCTTTATCCATGTTCCCCTACCGATTAATGTTTTTAAGTACTATAGGCCTTGAAATCAAGTAAAAAAATTCCCATTTTTCCAGGAAAGTAGGGGTAATTTAGATCCTTTTTCATGTGCGCAACTTAACGTAACAGCTTTTACTTGGTTCTTTATCCTATTTCGCCATTGATCAATCATCTCTCACACAGGGATGAATTACTTCCAGTGTGTAAGTTGATTTAATATTTAGGTAAATTATAACGCAATGCCGCCATTTATCATTATTTGACCAATTCATCCACGTCAAGTTCTTATTGAGTTTCGAGGTTTATCTAATAAAATAGGTAGATATATTGAGGAGTCAAATTTCAACAACCTTAAACATCAACCAATATATATATATTTTTTTAAAATTGTGATTATATACAATTCAGTACATTATAATATATATTTTTTCAAAGCTAAAAATGATTCAGTGTTAATATCGATGTGCATGATTTATATTATTTAAAAGGTGATTTTCTGTGGTATTTCCATTATGAACACATTCCAGTAAAAATGAGACAAAGACAGCTTTATATGAAATTGTTTTTATATGTTGAAATAACGCTGAAATAAATATGTATATATTTCAGGTGAAGCAACTGCTTATTATGACGTCATACGTTATCACCGAGATGTTCAAACCAATTTTTTTTACGCAATCTCATCTGGACAAAGTGAAACATTCTAACAATACTGCATATTACATGAAAGGAATACTACGTTCTCTAAAACCAGTATTATTCCACTCAGGTTTATATACTAAGTCATATATATATATATTTATATAAAAACAAGTTACAGAGTAAAAAGTTATACTGTCTCTTGGAAATTGAAAAATTTAGTGTATGAATATGAAACTATTTCATAAATTGATATCAATAAAACAAAATATTCGTAGTTAATATCGGATAAATATTTCAAACGTTTGATACATATACCCATATTTTTTCTATAATACGTTTCCCTAAATCATAATTTGTTTAAAAAATATTAACTAGGTAAACTTGCGTTGTTTTTGTCCAGTTCAGATTTCTATAGAGACTTACATCAACGCCACATATCTATGGTAAAGGGATTCAATATTACAATTAACAATTTATCATTGAGTGACGTTTTTCATACAAATTATTAGTCCATTATATAAAAATTATATATTCAATGACGGATTTTTCCGTTAATCCCGATCATGACAAGGAGTACAGGGCGGGCGTGACCGGTCGGCAGGGGATGCTCACTCCTCCATGGCATCTGATCCCATCCTCTTATGTTTTGGAGATCCGTGTTTGCTCTGCTTCTATTTTGTATTGTTTTATAGACTTTTGATCTTGAATACTTTTCGTTATCTCCATATGATTTATTTGCACTAATTTCCAGTTGGGTGAACTTTATCGTAACAACGCCTATCATGACATGTACAGGGCCTTAGATAATCATAGGTATTATCATATACCACGGAAAAACTGGTAAAAGCCATATCACCGACTCAAACCGGAAGTAACGTTTGTGTTTATTTTTACTGGTGCTTAAATTTTCATATAAAATAATTCTTTAACGACATTTGTGGTTGATAAAGGGACAAACCGGAAGATGTGAACTCGCATATTAAGTATTTTAAATATATGATAAATAGAATACGTTTGTATTAATGTTTATCAAAAAATGGAAACTTCGGTTTACGCGGCTTTAATCCACGACTTTTCGAGGACCGAGGACCTGAAAATACCAATAGCATCACCTCGGGTCTTTCCGTCGGAGAAAACCAAGGTTGTTTATCCGCTAGTCGGAGAGGCCCGAGAAGTTTCGATTGTGAAAATACCAAAAGATGTATTCATCCAGTGAATATTTGTCAAGTTATTTACTTTTTTTCCATCATCTCCTAACTACGCTCTTGGTCACAATTATTGGAAGAAATAGCTTCTAATTCAATTGGGGCCAACTATGCATGGAAAAGAGCAAACACAGCCGAAATGTCGGAGAAAAAAAATCCTCATCAATAGTTTTATATTGATTTCCAGGAAACAAACTTTGCAATGATTAACTCCATACACCCTGTAAATTATTCTTATGAAAAGGAAGATATTCCCCTATCTATTAACCAAAAAATGGTAAAGAATGAATTTTATCGGACGCGAGAACGAGATCTTGTATCATAATTCTTAAGATGTGTGCATGATTACGTCCCTAAATCTAATGCATTCAGGG